AAGTTTTTCAATTTTTTCAGGACATCATAAAAACGTTTCAGTTTTAATACATTTATATATATTTACATTTTTAACAATCCCATAATTTTTTGTTATTTATAGTACAAAAAATATCGTTGTTGTACAAAACATACTAGATACGTACTCGAAAATATTGAGATTTTTTACTATAGATAAGCAATGAAAATAGAAAAATTATGGTGAAGTCAATTAACAATTTTGAAACTTTCTTTAACGACATCCGAGATAGTTGGAAACTATGTTTAAATAATTAATAAAATATTATACGAAAAAGTGATAAAATAAACGTGAATTTACTTAATAATATATTTATTTAAAAGTTTCATGGCGCATTTAGTGCAAGTACAGAAAAATAAAAATTAATTTCCATCACAGTTTAGTTAAAAACTAAAATTCTAAGAAAACTATGAATTGTGAGTAATTTAGATTTCCTAAATATTCATCAGCATTACTTATAAGAAATAGGTTTATTATTCTTACTTATGGATGATAGAATTAGTGTTTATGCTACACATGAAATAGTAAAAAATTTTAATAAGTTACTTAAGCTAAAGAAAATAATTAGCATCCTTATTTGAACTTAGATATTTTCGCTTGCTCTATTTTTTGTAACCGAGTTTCAAAAGTCCATTTATTGTATATTCATTAACCTTTGTATTATGTCAGAGGTAAATAAATAAATGTTCTTTCTGCTTTAATAGAGAGGAGGTGAAAACGGTAGTAACGTTAATGCAGTGGAGTTACTTACAGCACGTTATTATTATTAAACATCTACGATATAATTCAAAGAGAGCGTAGCGCTTTTACATCAAGAAAAACATTAATACATTTACATGCTTTGTCTAATAAATAAAGCAAATATCAAAGTATTACTATCGTAGACCCGAAGCAAAATTATTTCATTTACAAATCACATCCAACTTAATATAATATTGAAAAAAATACAAAAGTAATAAAATGAAATTGCGATATTTTTTGTTATCTCAAATTACAAACATGATATTATAAAACATTAATAAATATTATTTAAAATTATATTTAACATATTAATTTAAACATTTAAATATTTAAAATATTTAACTCAAAAAGTCATAAAAATGTTTAAATTACAGTTTAGCTCTAATGGTAATATTGTTAACGAAATACGTATAGTCGATTTTTTAGTAATTTTTATGGTTTTTTAAGCTAAATATTTTTTTGGTTTTAAATTAATATTAGTCACAAGTGATCAATTATTATTATATAATAACAAATAGGTAACAAAACTAATTAATATCCCTTTAAAACAAAAAAAAAAACTGATAACGCATTTACATATCACATTCTTGTATAATTATTCCATATGTCGACTCGTTGACTCAAATCAACAAATCAGGCATAACTTTATAGGTCTCTTTTTTAATTTCAATTAAAAAAAGATATTAAAGCAACGCAAATCACATTTCCTATAATTTTTATACAAAATTACATAAAAAAAATTAACGTCCAATTGAAAGTTATCAGATGTTTAAACATTTAATACTTTTTTTACAAGAATTTTTTTTTTTTAATTTATATAATAGTTTGCATATTTCGTACTTATTTATCAAATATTAGTGAAACATTCAACATTTCTACGTCAGTAGCGTATGCTTATCATCTAGAAATGTTATTAAGTTTTTAAAAATCTCATTACCTTCATGAATAAAATATGCACAGTCATTTGTTTATAAAATACATTCAGTTATTCACAAAATAAAAATAATTTCGGAGTTTGTTTAGTTACATATATTTTTCAATTTATTTATTATTAATTACTTTAGTATTATAGTACTATATACTATAGTATTTTATCCATCCTTTATATCTTATAAAGGTATTTTTATTTTGTAAGTAATTGACTGGGTTGTGATAACGGATAACTCTGTTAATAGAAATCAACATTTTTTTATCATGCTTTTAACGCTTTACAATTGCACCTTTAAGCTGGCATAAAATAAAAAAAAATGTTTAAAGAACGATTCATTGAATTTAGTATTAAAAAAAACTTACTTTTCATATATAAAATTGCCTATATTTCTATTGTTTAAAAAATCCTATTTTTACTTTAAAATAAGGACGTGCTTTTTCAATCCTTAGAACTATTTTAGAGGATAAAATTTTAGCATAAAAAATCTTAGTATAACATAAAGTAACTTTTTTCATGTAATGATACAACATTTTTTGTTTAATTCAAAAGTGTTCTTAGCAATCTTATTATACCTGTTTATCTTTACATAATCTTCCCTTAACTCTTATATTCTCATACTTATAAATCCTATACCATTCTACAAGGTTTCTATATGACTCTAGTAGGTTATAAGTACTCTTACTCAAGAACTGTATGTAATTTATATCATCATATTCTCCATTCCATACATAGTATATTATAAATATAATATTAAATCTTGAAATGTGCGTGTAGCAATGAAACTACGCAATTACTACATACACAAATAATGTATAATTTGTGTTAATGAAAAAGTGGTTTGTACAATATGTTATTGCCAAACTACTTGGATATGCAGACCAAATATTTTTACAAAAATAAGATTTCATGTACTTTTATTTTAGAAAAATTACCTTTTTAAGAAATCCACAGATGATTTTTAAACTTACTTAAATAGAATTTTTATTTTACTTATTCGTCTAATATTCAAATTAGCTTTTTTGTTTGTATAAAGTTTTTTGTCGTTATATGCTTTATAAATATTCAAATCTACCACCTCTACTGCTATTGCGCGTCCTTTTAGCTTACTGGGTATTCCATTAGCACAGTTAAAAATTCATTGTTTTACCTTTTTTACTCACATTCCATTCAGTTAATTATGCTCAAATAAAATTGCACTGTTTTTTCTTGATTACAATACTTTTTTCACTTATTTAGTTTTCGATAGTATTGCGAACCATTAAGTACAGTAAAGATAAATTCAAAAATAATCAACAAAATAAATACATTTTTATTGTCAGTATATTATTTATTTAAAAATAGAACAGAAGAATTTAAACATGAGGAAAACTGTGCATAGTATCTGTTTTATTATTATTTATCATTGATATTGAATCAAACGAGTAAATGAGTGTTATATTAAGTATATAAACAGAGCAAATTAATAATTGTTATTTATTTCGACAATAAAACAAATAACATTAAAGAAAAACATAGGGTCGAACAGCAACAAATCTTCCTATTTTTATTATGGGCCTTTGACTTTTGAATCGAGCAACACGTTTTTCCGGCGTTGGAAGTTAAATACCTAGCGCACGCAAACTTGAAAATCGATAACCCTAAGTTAACCCTACAACAGGTGTGCATACTATCTACAATCTATCTGAAAAAAACTGTGGGAATAAATTACCTTTTTAAACATTTTTTTGTCTAAAATATTATAATAAGCGCTGTTCTTAAATAAAAACTTCAATGCTTGTCTTTCAATTAAAATTAAATTATCTGTAAATTTCATGATATTATAAGAACTAATGACGCAACTACTGGTAGTGGTAGTAGATACTTCATCAGTAGTGTCTTCCTTAAATTATAATACTCGTAGTTTTAAAGAAGTTTATTTATTTATAAAAAATGATAGTCAGTATTTTTCTATATCAATATTTTTTTTTGTATTACGTTTACATTATACAACTATTGCAGCAAATTAAAACGTTATTTTATGCATACTTCAATACTATGCCACCAATTAATCATAATTGTTAGTTCAATTATCTATATTAATGTGGTTGATTGTAGGTGTGGGGAGCACCACCACCCACGGCTTTGTAAACCTTACATAGCATCCAGTATCCTCTGGATTTTTACTTAAGTTACGCCACTAATGAGAATTGTTTCAAGTTTCACAACAAATGAGTATTCTAAACTTTTAAATCAATCTTGGTTTGCTTAGTGTACTTTGAATAAAAACACACTTATAAGGCTTTTTTTATTCATAGATTAATGAAGTTTTTAATAACTATATATTTTTTAATAATTATTATAAAAAAAAAAAAACTATTAAAATATTAGTTTTTTACGCTTGATTTGATAACTCACTTTACTAAAGAATATTCTTTCAAATAATTCCAAAAAAAATCATTAACATTTTACTTTTATATTTGTTTATGTTATTTGGTTGCTAGAGATGTAAGAATACTTATAAATGGTAATGAATTAAAGTAGTGGCTTATATGTAAAAAAAAATGAAATATTAACCTTTGCAGAACGTATATTAAAGTTAGAATATTAAAACTTTGCCATGCGTCATAGAAGGTCTTTTATAATTATTTAATTCAGCCATTAAGTATTTTTTGTAAATATTAATACATATTTTGCGAAACTTAAAAGGTATAATAACTTACAGTAATTTAAAATAAACACAAGAGCATTTTTATTACATTAAATAAAACCACTTTAAATTAATATTAATTTAACGTTTAAAAACTAATAAAAGAAAATAATTACTATTATTTGGAAAATAGAGCATATTAAGTGAAATTTTCACTTTTACACATTTCTTTTAGTAATATTTGTGTCTTGTTATAGATTATTACTTTTATTATACATATTTATCTGCTGTTTTTATTTTAAGAACTAATTTGAAAATAAGTTTATTTTTAATATTGATTAATAATATTAATTATAATAGTTTGTAAAAACTTTGAAAAAACCTTAAATATAATTAGGAAGGTAAGTATAGTTTGTGGCCATTAATACTACTGTATTTTATATACTAAATCTTTGGTGTTATTGCATATATTTAAATATATTAATGTTTAATATTAGTATTAATAAATGAATTCAATTGTATTAATTTACTTTATTGAGCTATATCTTACCATTTAATATAGATATTTTTGAAACTTAAACCCATACATAGGACTTACAGCAAATATCTAAACATAAAAAGAGACTTATAATTATTTTAATGCAAAGTTTACTAATATCTTTTTTGTTTGGGTTTATGTTACAGAATAAAATTAAACAAAAAGGATATGATTACTTCAGGAATGGTGTTTACATGGTGGTTTTTCTTTCTATGCTTCATACTTCTATCAGGTAAATTTATTTTCTTAATACAAATAAAAATTTAAATAATAAGTGAAGGATTTGTTTATACAAAACGGATTTCTTATTTTTTTTTTAACATACATTATCCTTGTTTAGACGAATATCAAGAAAATGAAGGATATAATATGTCCCTTCCAGGAGATAGCCACCCATAAAAGTTTTTGGTCGTTTGAGATAAAAAGAAAATTTAATATTATGTGAAAAAAATTCAAGCGATCATCACTAATTGAGCTTTTCTGAAATATTCTTTCATGAATTTTTCTACTCCTAATATAAATATTAAGTTACTATATTTTATAATTTTGAAGTAAACAAAAACATATTAAAGAACAATTTATTGGTTAGAAACAACATTTAAAAAAAAAAAGTCACGCAATCATACAAGAAGCATCGTTTATTGAATAAATTATCAAATAAGAAACTCAGCAAAATTTAATTTGTTTCCAGACCTTTGTAATAACCACACGTATAATACAGCACACTTAAATTTATTATCGAATGTATTGCAATTATCTTGAGGCAATGTTGGTATATCACAAACAAACGTACCACGCATGTTTTTCTAAAAAACAATCCAATGAAATCTGAAATAATAACATTATATCCATTAGTATGTTGATTAAAATCAAAATGTAGCTAATGTAATATGTACGAATTGTGTTTGATCAGTCGACTTAACTATGGCGACTCAATTTTATTTGTTGTCTAAGTTATATCGACAAAATGTTTTTCAATATCGAGTATTTATTTCCCCCCCCCCCTCGTACTATATCATGTGTTATAATTTTGATGCGCATAAAAATTATTTTCATCGATAAAAAGTCATAGTATTTAGTATATAAATAAATTCTATTCAATCCAAAATTGCTCTTAAAAATATTTTTAAATACTTTTAAAAGTACTTCCAGTAACATAACAATTGATCTACTCGGAATATTAATGGCGATTTCACTGAAATCTTAAATAAAAGTAACTTATTGAAAAAAGCTATTAGAAAAGTCCATACATTTTTTGATTTGTACATGAGTAACTGCATATAAATAAATTTTCTGCCAATATCAGAAAACAATATTTTAGCGATTCAAAATAATTTCTGTAAAATCCTTACACACGATGTTTTTTATTTTATGTTTATTTACGTAACTAAAAAAATTTATTGTGCTTTTAAAATGTCTCTATTGCTGCATACAAAGTGATTTTTTTTATCGTTTGACATCGATTATCTAAAAAATGTAAAATGACTTTAGTGCTTGGATATTATGTGAACTGCAAAATATTTTAAATCACATATCTGCTTACTACATTACATTTCATTTTAAAATAATCATTGTATACAATTTTCAGTCTTTCATGATCATTCATGAAATAAAAAACATAAATATACGGAATTGAAACTCTATTTCAATTCAATAATCTAAATTGATAAATAATTGAAAATTTTAACGAAAAACGTACTTCTATGTATATATTCATAACACAAATTTATTTTTCAAGTATTAAAAAGCTTAAAAAAGTATTTTTTTTAAATACTAAAAAAAATTTTTTGTATCTGGTAAGTGCAAATGCGATAACATGAACTTTGATGTGAAATTTAAAAGGTATTGATTTTACGAGTACCTACTTTTTTATGTTAGTAATTCAATTTTTGAAATAAATAGATCGTGATATATAAGTTTTTTTAGATAAAAAAAAAGATAATACAGTTGTCCGTTTTACTATTAAACTTTCAGTGCTATTTTTTTACACGATTTTTCTTTGGTAGTCTTTAATCTCAATGAATTATCATTAAAAATCAGGGTTGTATCAATAAATAAAAATTAATTTTTTAATACTTGTCTTTTATATGTAAAAATTAAAAAAAAGTATTATATATTTATCTGGTTTTAGATATATAGGCAATTTTAATTTTAAAATCAATTCCTTTGGTTTTTATTTTTTTTTTTTTTAATCTAAATTTATACTTTGTAAGTAAAATACAAATATATATTTTTAATTAAAGAAAACCCAATATAGTGGAGACATTTCATAATTGGGACAAATATAGATGATATCTAATAGTGGTTAAAATAAAAAAATGCTTCGATGCAAATCTGTTGATAGTGTTTAATTATGAAAAAGAATTGTAAAATTATTCCAAAAGCAACATCAGCTCTTATTTTCTTAATTACATCCTGATTACAAGTTTTATGATTTACTATATACTAATTAATAATTTAATGTTGTAATTTTTATGAGAAATTATAAAAAAATATTATGTAAATACGTATTTTGTTAACCCTAGGGCAAACGTCTATAAAAATTTTAAGTATAGATTTATAAAAACAAAATAAAAGAAAGTTAACTTTCTTTACTCAATTATTCTGACCTTTGTTAGTTAATTATTATATCAGTTATGAAATTGTAATTGTAGTTTATTATAAGCCATTGATAGAAATAACATTTTTCTTGGAAAAGGCAGTCCTTTCCTTTTAATATACTTAATGCATTGCCATTAAAAACACAACGAATTCTCTCTAAAAATATTTATAACTAACACTTGTATCTTTTTTATTATTATTTTTTTTTAATGAGGGTTAAAGAGGACACCTACCTGTAATTTTAATTGACTATTCTGTTTGACCTATAGATTAGGCATAAATAATTGACAATAAAAAATTGATGTATAAAACAATACTAAAAACAGTAATTATTTTATACAAAAATAAGATTTTTTGTTTAAATTTATACAGAAGACAATTCACCAAGAACATTTTTTTTTTACTTATAGTATATAACACAGGTTTTAATTTTACATATAATTAAAGGTCGCAGTACTTACAGAAAATGTGTCAAAAACCATGTTGAAAAAAATAAATTTTTGTGGACAAGTTTCTATTTTAAATCCTCCCTTATACGCAGGTTAGCAGTCAAATTTTCAAAAAATGTATATTAAATAAAAAAAAAAATTATCAAGTTATAAAAAAATATTTTTATTCCTTTGTCTTTCAAAAAGTTATGATAATTTTAAATAAAAAAGACGAAATTTATGGCATTTTCAAGTAGTAATTTTTTGAGGAATTTTTATCACTTACAGGGAATGAGAGAATTTTTTTCAATTTTCTTTAATTAGTTAAAATTTGTTATCTTTTGAAGTATTGTTGAAAGAATTCGGATCGGTGTATTATAATTAATACATTCTCAGATTCGCATGGAAGCTAAAAATTAAAGTATTTATGCTATAATCCAATAAAAATAGAGAAAACACACATTGTTTAATAATTAAATTTTCCAATGTTGTAATTTGGGTAAATATTTGTTTTTATACATTATATTAAACATTGCAAAAATTAATTTACAATATTTATAATTAATAACAAGGTATGTGTCAATGTGTCATAATCTCTAGATAAAGTAATCATGTCATCCATCATAATTATATTTTCCTGTTTAAATCTACCACATGATACTGTTAATTATTTATTTAAATATTAATTTTCTGAGGCAATAAAAGTTTTTAAACTTTTTATACTTTAAGAGATAAAAATGTATATAAGGTGTTTTGAATGTAAATAACCACGTTTTTAATATTTGTCTCTAATAAGAAAGAATAAGAAATAATTTTTTTATATTTTCATTTTTCAAAAATTTATAACGGTAATTCTTTAGTTCTTTTCTTACAAAACATTAGAATAAGTACTCATCGATCTATAAGCATTTTAATACATTGAGTGGGTATAGTTTGGATGAGTATACCTCTTCTAATGTATACGTATACTCTACTGGCGTTTTAAACCCACTCTATGCATTAAAATGATTGTAACTCAATCAATACTTGTCTTGAAATTGTCATCCACCTATCAACATTTTTTGTAGGAAATTTCCTGAAAAATTGTAATTTGAGACACTCGGTACGTATAATAAAATAAATAAATATAATTAATCATTATCAGAATTTTCTGTCCATCTTAAAATTAGAACTAAATATCCGATCATCGTATAATTAATTAACTCATTATTGAAGTTAGGAAATATTTACTATGGCATATGTTTAAATTAATTGAAATTGAAAGGAACGTTTTTGGGCATAAGTAATCAAAATATATTTTATGTTCATAAAAGATAACGAGATAACTCCTAAATAGCCCGAAACGAGCTCTGGTAAACAGCTAATATTTTTACTTGTATGATAGTGTAAGCTTAACGTCAACCAAATTGCACCTGCTACTTATTATGACTACTTTAAAAATCATACAACACTAAAGTTACGGTATCTAACAGTTAACTATTCGATATTATATTAATCTATATAGTATCTATTTTGGATAAAATATTCTTAATAATTCAAGCCAACTTGTCAACTTTTATTTTAGTTTTGACTTTGAACGATTTTTTTATTTTAAAGTTTCAAACAAGGAACTTTTTAGTAAGTAAAAAAAAGAATTTCTGAAGATTTATTCAATGATAAAAAGAAGAAAATACAAGTCAAAAATATTATTTTTACAGAGAAAGTACAATTTAAATAATGAAGGTAAAGAACAAAAAATGTATTTGAATTGTATTATATAATCTTATTAAAGATTATTTTATTATAGATCACATAACAAAAATAAACTTGAATACACAAAAAAAATTAATTTTTACATTATCAATATGATATTGTTCAAATTTTTTTTTATGTTCTATATTATAAATTAAATCTCAGACTGACTTTTTAATTATTTTGTAATTAAAAATTTACTTTATAGAGTTTATCACCATATCGATATTACCTGATTAACGCACTCCACTAAACTGGCTAAATTTTTTATTTATAACCATAACAATAGCGCGAGCACATAATCAACAAGAACGTTGTTATAATCAACATGTTACAGTGAAAATAATCATTTTAACGATAATCACGAATGTTTTTGTTAAAGCTTTTAAGAAACAAAAGTATTTTGCAACAGTTCACATATCAAGTAAATATATAAGTGCACGCTTCAATTCATTGGGGCCTTATTAGCATT